TACCGCTCCAATACGACGAATTTAATTTTACACTAATAGTCACTGGTATAGCACACAATGGTAAGCTAATGAGTGAAAATTATCAACATTATAACTGTCATTATCGTTATGCTTGTAGTTCTAATAACTGAGTGCGGGAAAGCTTTTACCTGTGGACTTGGATCAGTTGGACAGTTGGGACATGGAGGGACAAAGAATCTCAGTACAGTAAGCATGTCCTTAATGCAAGTTCGTGTATGATTGAATCTTTTAACTCAAATAGCCAGCTCAAGTGACTGCTTTTGTTCGTGACAGGATCATAGTGAATGCAGCTGCTAGTGTCTGTCATACTATCCTCCTCGATTCAAAAGGTATGTAAGTTTATGGATTTTTATAAAGTTATTCAAAAATTGGGCCAAACACCCTGTACTATTAGTAACGCGGTAGCGTTACTAAGTAGGATTCACCCCCAAACAAAATGGCTGCCATGACTTTTGCAGCCTTGCTATACCGGGAAAACGAGCTCCTATGCTTACCAGACTTTATAGAGGACCTCATCTTGACCAGAGGACTCCAATGGTACCATTAGCGTGGCTCTAGACCTTGTCTAAGAGGAAATCCAAAAATCGGCGAACCGGCCGTTTTGTTCAGCCACCTTTTTCATCTTCATCATCTTCATCATCAAGTCCTGTCAATCCAGTTGTCGGTGTGTATCTCAGTATCAGTTGGTGCTACAAGGATAATTCTTACACCAATCTACTCCAACAGTCGATGCGCAGGTCCATGTCCCATCAGATCATTCTTCAAGTAAAGAAAAAGTGATACTGTGACTGCTGGATAGAGCCATCTTAGCTGCATGCCGCCATTTTGTTTATTAAAGAAGCTTGCCATGTGCTCCAAAATTTGGGTGTGGTCGCGCATGCTCAGATCTAGATCTGCAGCTCTGGAAGAAGCAAGTTATTTTTTTACCAAGCTATGCTTGGAATCAACTACTGCAATACTTTAGTAGAGGTTTCCAGCTAAAAGAAGGTATTAATTTTACATGTTACTGTTTTATTAAGTGTGTGATTTTATTTTATTTAAAAAAACAATTAATGTATGATATGCAATGATAATATGAATGACAACAGCCTGGAAGAACAGGAATAGCTGCAACATAACATGCAGGGAAGATGGACACTCTCAGCTCACAGCTTCTTGAACAAGGACTTGTGTCAAGACTAGTATTAATTTCACTTGTCATCAGGATAGTTGATATTCCTTCAGCATGTCTATTCAATG